GTCGGCGTTTCGGCCCAACTCCGCGCGGCTTGGCGCTGCTGGCTTGCCTGCTGTCGTAAGAACCAAAGCCATCTGCGTGCTGTGGAGCTCGTTGGGGCGTCGTCGAGATTGAAGCGCGTGCTGTGCTCGAGATGACTGCCGCCGGATATCCACGTCGCGGCCGGCGGGCCACGTGGCCGCTCTCCCCGATGGTTGGCTCACGTCAACTGGCCTGTCTGTGTTGAACAGGGCCAATCCAGAAGGAGTACCCCGCGCCGGCGGCGACGTGGGTGCCGGCGCCGATGGCGGTGGCCAAGTGGAACTCGACGCGCATGGCGCACCGGTGCCGAGCGAGGCCACAGATGGCAAGTCGGCCCAGCTCGACAGCTGCACGTTGGCAGCTGATGGAATGGGAGCCGCGGCCAGCAAGCGGGGCCCGCCCGGCCAGTCGCGCCCCTGGCCCAGCCGCTGCCAGGCGGGTCTGCGACGCAGTTGCGGGACCCGGCGGCTGAGCGCAGGCGCGCGCGCGGCCCGTGAGATCTCCCATCTCCTGTCGCAGTCGTCGCAGCTGGGCGTCGCGGGGGTTGGGCAATGACGATGATGCTGCGCCCGCCCAACGTGGCCACTCACTCTGGCCAACCCGTTGCCGCGAAACGTCGGGCGACGAACATGGCGCAGCGGCTGCTGCCGCTGCCCGCGGGCTCGCGGCGCCGCCGGCGCTGGCGCGGGCCTTCCGCCGGCCGACCCACGGATCGGCGCCCGGGGCCACTTGCGCCGGAGCCTGCAGACATAGTCTGCCCGTGGCCGGCGGTGTCCCTGATTATCCAGACCGCGCGTGTGTTCGTCGGGGGCTGCTCAGCTAGGCTCGGTCGCCCTTGCTGCCCTGGGGTCGGCGCCGGCGCGGGCGCCGGCGGCGACGGGGCGCGGGCGCCATGGGGAAAAGCGCGGCCCAGGTTGCGGCGCCGGGGGCAGTCGTGCACGAGGTGCTTCCGTGAATTGTACTCGCGGCATTTTAGTCGCACCCCGTCGGAGCCCATAAGGTTGCCACGACGACCCGGGCCCATGCCACTAGTCCTGAAACCCATTTTCTCTTTGCCCTTGCCCTCCCCGAAGCCCGCGCATTTCTCTTGGAAGTCATATCCAGACGTGTCGCCCAGGAAGTCTCGGTGGCCCTTGCCGTGGCCCTTGTCCTTCCTCTCAGTCAATGGCACTCCTGGCGCGGCGCGCGGGCTTGCGGCCGTTGAAGTGCCGCCATCGTGCTTTGGCGCGCTCGTGCCCCAAGAACAGGGGTGCGCCGCGTTGTTCCACGGGGAGATCGCGTTGCTCGGGGTCGTCGGCGGCTATCTCTCCTGCGACGAACGAGCCGGCGGTGTCGGCGTCGGTGCCCGAGTCGACGGCAGCTGCTGGAAGTGCCTCTTGCGCTGGCGGTGCGGGCGCAGGCGGGATCGGCGCCGCCCCCAGTCTGAAGGGCCCAGGCCGTCCCAGCTCGATCTGGCTGCAGTACCATAGACGCGCCGACCCTGATCTTGCGCGGGCGTGCCCGCGGGGAATATTTATTCGCCGTTGGGCTGAGTGCGCCGTTGAGGCGAGATTGCCTGGCGATTCGCGATTGGGTCGTCACGTGCGCGAGTTGTGCTGCGTCGGTTGGGTCGGCCACACTGCAGCTGCCGCGCGCGAGAAAAGGGGGCTGAGACCCTCGTGGCCGATCATGCATTGACTGGCTTGCTGGGCACGGGAGCGGAGGATGTCGAACCGTGCGAAGAGGTTATCTATGCGCCCCTGCGGGAGTCGGCTGACGTTCATATGCGCTGAGACTGCTGGAGCGCGCTCCCACTCGCCCTGTTGGCCCCGAGGTTCGGCCAAACTGTGCGTGCGTTGGAGAAGTCATCGGCGGCGCTGGGATGCCGTTGATGGCGCCTCCCTGCGCGCGGGCAGCCGGCGGCCACTCGCCCACGCGTTCTTAAGGCGCGCTGGCGGGGCGAGACGCTGCGCGGGCCGCCGAGGCAAAACTCGTCGAGGTCCGAATTCGCCACTGACCAGATCATCACCACTCGCACGCATCGTTGGAAGGGATGCCCGAGATTGCTGCTCGGGCTCCCAAGTGCGGACGCGCAGCGTGCCGCCGTTGCCGCCGCGTGCAGGCGGCCAGGGCAATCATGCGCACTCGGATGGCCTTCCATCCGGGGTGGGGGTCCCTCCATGGGTCCAGAGGGCGCTGGGGGCCGGGGGCCCACCGACGGCGTTGCTCTGCCCAGGGGCCTCGAAACCGTCGCGGGCCCCTGCCCCGAATGCGTTCCTCTTCGTTAGCGCATCGGGCACTTTCATCTGTCGCGTCGTTGCGGCTGTCACCGCGCGCGAGGCACCCCGCAACATAGTTGCGAGAGCGCACTGTCGTGCGTCGCGTCGGCACTGCGTGGAGCACCGCCAACTGCGCGATAGTCCAAAGGAGTGCCCGTCGGGATTTCGCCCTGTCAGCCTGAAGGAAATCGGTGGCTGAGGCGATATGGTGTGCACCCAGAGAACGAAGACAACTAGTCCCAGACCTGTATCGCTGTCCTCTGGAGATGGGACAGCGCAGTTGTCCAACATTCCGCTGAGTTCCCACTCAATCAATACTCTTCTCCGCCTGAGTTTCGCAGGGCCCTCGCAACGTAGTCGCGAAAAGCTCGGGGCCACTGGCCGAGGCTGTTGATGTGAACGATGGCGTTTCCTTGTTTACAGCCGAAGACACGACCTGCGATTCCGAAAAACGCTCCGAAGCAGTTGGAATACGCCCTGGGAGAGAAGCAGGCAGCGGCGGGGTGGCTCCGCGTTCCTTGAGGTTCTCGGTGTCGCACTTGTTCTAGTGAGTTTCCGCCTCGTCGCTCGTCCGAGCGAACGCGAGGTGGATGAGCACGGGAAGCACACATGTAATTCTTGCCGAACACGTAAAGGATGATGGGGAAGGGGCCGAAGAGCGAAGGATTGGCGTGGCGGAGGTGCCGCGCGGGCCATGGCGGCGAGAAATAACGGAAGGCAGCTAGGACCCCGCTGCCAACTGACAAAACGGATGCGATGGCAAAATGACGGTTTTACCTGAACATGGTAGGAGCAAGCGCGCGTTTAAAACGGGCACGGGAAACTCTGCAGGCTCCAGTGCCCCAGGGCCACACGGCAGCGGCAAGGAGAGGCAATTATAGGGCACAGAAAGCGGGAGGGATATGTAGGCCCGTTCGAGGGGGACGAGGACGAAGACAAAGACTTGGACAACGACGACGACGACAACGCGACGACGACGGGGACGATGACGACGACGACCACCACGACGACGGCGACGGCGACGACCACGACGACGACGACAACGCGATGACGCCGGCGACGACGACGACGACGACGACGGCGCACTGCTGCGGATGCCCCACCCATGGGGCGGGGGCGGGGGCGCAGGTCCTCTGTGAGCGTCGACGACGACGACGACCACGACGGCGACGACGACAACGCGACGACGACGACGACGACGAATACGACGACGACGACGACCACCACCACGACGGACGGCGGCGGCGACGGCGACGGCGGCGACGACGACAACAACAACGACGACGACGACGGCACGATAACGACTGGCAAAGCGGTGACGACAGCAATGACGACGCACTGCGGATGCCCCATGGGAAAGGAGGCTGAGTAGGCGCGCTGCAGTCGACGACGGGGACCACAGACCACGACGACGGCGACGACGACGACGGCTGTGGCGCGCCAGTTGTCAGCCTGAAAGAGGGAACAACTTCGTCTCGGATGTATACGATCCCTACAACAATGTCTATACGAAAAGGCACTCCTGTTGAGGCTGCCGCGCAGGGGGGTGCACAATCCCCTCGGCGGCGCCCGCGACGACCCCCCCAGCGCGCGTGATATAAAACATGTTTCGCGCCCATCGTGGTCTATTCAACAGCCCGGGGGGGACATCATTTGTTAGTCACAAGCTGACATTGCCGATCCCCCCACTCCCCAGGTCTCTCCTGAAGAAAATCCAAAGTAGAATTTGGAGGAGAATCCAGCTGTGGCGACGAGAGCCTCCAAGGTGGCAAGACAGAGGGAAATGTAATTAGCGGTATCGGCATCTATTCCTGCCCCCTCCGTGAGCAGGGCGAGTTGAGACAACGGCAACTCAAAATCGGTTCCAAGACACCTCGTGGCGTCCAAACGCACCAGTGTTCCGATCCGCACCCAGCCGTGGCGACGAAGGGACCTCCCGAAGGCAAACTACAGCTGTCTCAACTTGCCCTCCTCAGATCCAATGTTGGCGTCGTCCGACCCTAGTGGTTTTCGGGTCATATCTCGAGCATCCAGCAGCCGTTCGGGACGATCCCGGCACCCTCAAGAACGCTCTCGACGAGGCGCCGCTGATGGAAACCACCCTCGACCCTTAAAGTGTTCGAAAACGTTCGAGCGCGTGCCAACAAGAAGCGCTCTCCGGCCCCTGCGCCTGTCCCCCCCTGAGGCCCACCGCCCCCTGTGGCTGCGCGCACGGGGGGGCGGAGGGAGGGGGGATGGCTTCTCAGAAGGAGGCTGCGTCTTTGGGGAGCCCACAAGGGATGTATGCACCCAACCACGTACATGAACGCGGCACCCCAATCCGCGAGATCGGCCGCGTGATGCGAACGTTCGTGCAATGCGTACTCCCGAAAACAAGGCGGATTCATGTGCTTGTACGTCCTTCTTTCCTGACTCTTAGAAGGCGGCGGCCTGACATCTATAGATAAGGCCCGCACCCTCTGAGAAGCAAGGGTGCTTCCAAGGACCCCCTTTGCGTCAGCATGGGGAAACGGGGCCTGAGGAAATCGGGTCCTGGACCCGAATGCCCTCCCCCAGGACCAGCCTTCCATCCTGAATCGTTTTCTGACAGTCCCGGGGCTCGTGGAGGGCCCCGAGAGCCCGAAGACGGCGGAAAACCTCAGGACCCGTTCCCCTCAGGGCTCGCTTCCCCCCCTGGCGATCTGCACGTGGCTGATATCCTCCCCGCGCCCTCGGCCGCCAGCCTTCGTTCGCTCGGGCGGGGGCCACAAGCACGCTGCCGGCGCGCCGGCGGCGCCCGCACCGCTAGGGCCGGCGGCCTCGCCGGGCGTCTGCGCTCCTGCGCCGCCCCAGGGCCCGTGGTTCAAAGGTGGGGCCCTGAGACCTGAGACCCCTCGAGTCGTGAGAAGAGAGCACGGCGTTCTTGTGTCCTCGCTGTTTTCTGCCTCTGGGGTCCCTTGCTGGGCCTCGTTGCCGTCAAACAAAGACCCAGGATGAAGAACCGATCCAAGGGAATGGGTCAAGACCTCTCGGGGTCAACGATCTTCAAAACAAATGACGTCGGGGGTCTGGGAAGGATGCCTGTTTGAGGCCACTCGACCGTAAGGCTCAATCCCTCAGGGCCCATCTTTCAAACCGCCAATAGATGAGGTCAAATCGGATAGGGTCGGAAGATCGCATCACATCGGCGATGCATCTGCAACGTCCGGATGGGGAAGGGCGGACTCCTCCCTTGTAGGCCGCCCACATGTCAGCATGAATCATGCGCGCCCTGAAGGAAACGGGTCATGAACTTGATCCTCGTTCGCATATCTTCGACTGTATAATTTGTACAATCCTGGCAATGTTCCAGGAGTTCGGTCTCTTGGGCCCGACCATCCACAGTGGATCCCGGGCGAAGAACAACTACCTCCTGGGCAGGGCTCGAGCTAAACAGTGTGTTTCGTTTTCGCTTTGTTTTCGTTTTCCTTCGTTATGTCGTCGTTCTGGCCTTGCTGCGAAACGGAATCAGAACGAACACGCTCCACGAAATCGTCAAGACACAGCTTGGCTCGAGCTCTGCTCCAGGGGAAGGGCCTCGGGGCATCGGGGGCCGCGCCCTGAACAAAAGCACATCCTGGGAGGTCTGTGTTCTCATGTCCTCACGGGGCCCACTCAGGACGAGACGCTGGTCCCAGGGGGCGTTCTGGGGTCAACGGCCCAGTCCCCTCTCCATGCCCTCCGCCCTCCCTCCTCCCTCCTCCCTCCAGGGCCAGGGTCGAAGTGGCTGGGGTCGGACGACTGCACCGCATCGGCGCTGCATCGGCGACGTCGGGACGGAGAAAACCGGGCCCCAAATCGGGATGCCCCCACCCAATCGACTCGGACACCGTTTGGCGGATTACGGAAACCCTGAACCCAAAAACGTGTTCATCTCTTGGGGGCGCATCTTTTTCTTCCGTCGCCTTCCGCCGGCCTTCCGCCGGCTTCCGCCAATGGAGGCGGCCTCGTTTTACTTCCGCCGCCTTCTTTCGAACGCCCCATTTGGGAGCCCCCCTCCTGGGGCCAAACGTCACATGAGCCGCAGGGGTCGTGGCAGAAGTCAAGGCGAATGGATACTCGGCCGCTCTCTCTGCCTCCGGGGGTCCTTCGCCGGGCCCCGCGCGCCGTCAACAGATCGGCTCTCGGGATGAAAGCACGGGCCCCGGTGAAGGGTTCGGGAGCTTCTGGGGGTGCCCGTGGTGAGAAAGTCGTAGGAAACTTCAAAAGGTCTCGAGACCTCACGCCATAGGGCACACGCAAACAAGGATTACGGGTCTGTGGACCTGACGCGTGGGCGCCAGATCCATGGATCGAGCCCCAAGACGGCCCAAGGGCCCAAGGGACCCCAGGACGGCCGTTGGAGGCCCCTTGGAGGGCACCAAGACAGCCCAGAAGACAGCCTCTGAAGGCGCCAGACCGCCCAAGAGCGCCCGAACATGGCCCAAGACGTCCTCAAGACACCCCAACAGGCTCCCGACAAGCCCCAAAGCAACCCCAAGATGTTCAAAAAGAGGCCCCAAGAGGTCTCCCAAAGGCTCCCGGGAAGGCCCGCATTCACATACTCTACACATTCCAGACGTGCACCCCACGAAGCGAGGAGGAATCCGTGAATCGGGGGAAGTATCCCCAGAACTGTGAAGACAATACCGCCTCATTTGGCAACGGAGCACGCCGATGCTGCGTGGCAGCGGAGGCTCTTCTCTGTGGCTGGGCGTTTAGACCCCCTGCAAGCTGATGGCGTGTCGTTCCGCTCCGCGGGGCGGGAGGCGGGGACAAGGCTCTTGCTGCTTGGGAACTGGTACGTGGATGGCATGTCGCGCCGAAGCACGGTGGGCAAAGGACCGTCGGCAGCACGACACGCTAAGCAAACGCTCCCGACCGTAACCCACGCGCCTTGCTCACTCCATTCTTGCACTTCCTCGACCCTCGTCCCTCGATTCGGCGGGTTCCGGACACCCTGGACTCAGAATGTTGTCATTTCTTTGGGCTGCATCTTGTACTTCCGCAGGCTCCCGCCGGCCTCCCGCTGGCTGAGGTGGCATTCTGCCACATTCGGCCGCCTCTCCGCCGGGGAAGAGAAGACAACTCCCGCTCGATTCTCGAAGGCGAGGGTCTTCCTGGAACGCCTCCTTAGGCCGTCCTGGGTCCTACCTCCCGCCTGCAGTCCTCTCCCTGCCGACGTCGGCGCGAGGTGCTCCGCCCTTGCGTGCTTCCAGCCCGCCCTCCCTCCCCGCTGGTGCCCCCCTTGGCCTTCCGCCGCGCTCCACGCCCTTCCCGCCTCCCCCAGCCATTTGCTCGCCCCCCCTCCCCCATCCCTTCTCTCTGCTGTTGGACAAACTTGAGCTGCAATGCTGGAGCGTACCACCTCATCCGTCCTCCTCCTCCTCCTCCTCCTCCTCCTCCTCCTCCTCCTCCTCCTCCTCTTTCTCCTCCTCTTCCTCCTCCCTCCCTCCCTCCTCCTCCTCCTCTTCCCTCCCTCCCTCCCTCCCTCACTCTGGCACTATACGAAGCAGAACGCCGCGCTTCTGAGCAAAAGCCCCTGGGGGCACCGATCCCGCGCAGGTTTGCCCCGCCCACACTTCGGACACCTGCACTGCGCGAGCGACAGGGACGTCATATGATCTTGGGAAGGAGGGGGCGCGGCGGACCCGATAAACTAGGGTATCGCCTGAGCTATCAACAACAACGTTCTCCCAATAATGACCCTTTGGCACTGCCCGACCAGTCCGAAATCGCTGCAAGCCATTGAAACTTACACAAGTCAGCCTCATAGGCAAAAACACATGTTCACCAGCGTGGGCTGGAACACAAATGTTCATGTATGTGGTTGTGCCAGCTGTGAGTCCACATGTGAGATGCAAGCTACGCGGTGCAACCTATGTGGTGTCAGTAATTGCTGTTCGCGGGGAATTGTCCACTCCACTGCTCGCGCGAACATCCCACCCACCCACCCGCAACTTGGTCTGCAAGCCTCATGCGGCGGGGATTGCGATGAATGCTTGGCGATGGCTGGTGCATCTCTGCGGCCGCGCCCGCCCGCGCATGCGCGCGCGCAGCGGCCAGGTAGTTTGGCGCGACCGACGAGGCCGCGGTGGTGCTGACCGCTCGGCGCATCCCAGCGGGCACTTGAATGCGAGTCGGCGGTTTGGGCGGGCGCGGTATCATGGCAACGTCGACAACTGTAGACACGATGGCGATGATAGTGGCGATGTTGGTGGCGACAATTGTAGACACGATGATCGTGTTAGTGGCGACGACGGCCCCGATGCCGATCACGCCAACGACGATGACGGCGTCTTCCCGTCGGCCATGAAGGTTTCGGGAGGACTTCGACACGCGCGCGCGGCAGACGCGCGAGAGTGGCTCGCATGGTACTAATGGACACGGATCGTGCCACCCCAGCACGCGCGCAAAGGCGTTCGAACGATTTCGACATGTGGGCGCGCGAAGCCCGTTTGGTAGCATTTAACGAACATGCTGAAACATGCATGGTTGTCTCAAGAGTTCGCAAGAACGCGCGCACGTTTTTGCTGAACATCCGTGTTGAGAAACTCTTTGTTGTTGTATGTTTTTGACACTCGATTTTGAATTCATTCCGACACCAAGGGTGTTTGAAGGATTTCGACATGCGCGCGCGACGACGCGCGCGCACTTCGTCCCAGCTTTCGCAAGGGATACTCGCAACGGCGCGCGCCTAGGGGCGTTCGAGCGATTTCGACATGCGCGCGCGAAGTCGGTTTGGTAGTATGCTCTTGAACATTTTGAAGAGCCGACGGTTTTCAAGAATTCGCAAGAGCGCGCGCGCGCGTTTGTTGAAACTCCGCGGTGCCAAGCCCTGTGCTGTTATATGTTTTTTGGGCACTCGATTTTGAAATCCTTCCGGAACTTCTGGTTCTTCAAAGATTGCAGCACGCGCGCGCGACGACGCGCGCGCGTGCACTTCGTCCCGTTTTTGCAGAAAGGCTTCTTGACGACTTACGATTCTTCATGAACGAATGCGCGCGCATCGTATATTTCATATAAGATGGCGCGGGGGGGCGATACCGACCTAGACGGGGCAGTATGAATTCACAGGTAGGATGGACATTCGGTCAGAATCCCACGCGCTGTACATCGGTTCCCCGGGGTGGATAAGTCTGCTCTTTTTTTAAACAAAAAAGAAGAAAATCTACATCGGCGCTCAACAAAATACCCCTCTTTGCGAAGCACGGCTCCGCGCGGATGCAACGCAGCAGCATGGCTGCAATGTCGCTGCAATAAAGAAATCCTGCCAGGCCTGCCTGGGCGCGCGCCGCGCTCTGGCGCGAACGCTGACCAACCTGGCGCGCGTTCGAAACTGCCGGGGGCAGGAGGGGGCATCTGCCGCGCGAGGCGAACCTTTGGGCCCGCCGGACAAAACACGGAACAAATCGGTTGGCACGAATCCCGCGCAATTGCGCCACTTCTGGGGTGGCCGGGAAAACTCTCGGGTCGTCTCGGGAGCAAGCCCGATCGTTTTGTTTGAGGAGGTCCTACGAGGTTTACTCATCTTCGGGTTCATACGCCGCGCGGGGTTTACAAAGCTGAGTTGGGGGCCGAAGCTCTACTCCACCCCAGAAGGCGGGGGGCTGGATTCACATTGTGCAGGGCCCCTGCGGCCAAACGGGGCGGGGCGGCGATCCCGCCCCCGCCTGCGCCGCCCCTCTGCCCTCGCCCCCCGAGCGGCCCCCGCCGGCCATCTTCGACCTCGCGCCTGCCGAGGTGGCGACGAGATGCACCGAGGCGCATTTGGGGGAATTTTTGGATCGGCGCAGTACGCGGCGCAAGCTACGCGGTGCA